GTGGGTGGGGGAAGAGACTTCTTTCTTGAGTCTCCTACCAATGATGCACTGCCCCAGCCAGAAGCCTCTAAGCGCCCTGGTAGTGTAGTGAATGAAAGTGGGTGTGAGGGGAGAGATTGCACACAGTTCATGTCCTATTTGGTAAGGTATTGATAGTTCTCAGATTATCCTGCACAAATCTGCTCCATATGTCACACATTTTTTACTGTTTTTTGACTAAAATCTGAATCCCTGAATTTGACCGTTCATACTTTCTTACTTATGCGTTTTCACGCTTATACGTTGTTTTTGGTAGGACCCAGATATAATCCTGTAATTCTCATGCTAATTTTTTCGGCTATGCGATTTCAGTTAACTTCGTGTAAGGTTAAAATGGTCCCGGAGAGGCGCGGAGCGACCCTATGCGGAGAAACTTGCATGTTACTGGAGACGGCATACTCCAGAGCGCTTCGGAGCGACCAGTCATATAATGCGACTTCCCACTAATGAAACTTGAAATATAGGAGCTCGTGTCGGCCGAGTTGAGGGCCCAAAACCGCGAAATCGGCTCATGGGCCACTTCCAAAAAGGACACGCACGGGACCTCCGGAGGCGCCGGCCAGCTCCGAGGGAAGGTGGAAGGCGTGTCGGGTCGAAGGCGGAGAGTATCGGTGTAGATGACCGTCCCACTCTCCGAAGGGCCTTTTGCTCGCTGTAATGTACGAGATTCTTTTGGTAGTGGCATGGCACAAGCAGCTAATGAAACTGATCGTTTCCGCGCGGCGGGTGTCGCCAGGCCGTTGCAGTCGTGGGCCTCGTGCGCGTAGAACACCGTGCTTTGACCCGCGGAAACTCGAGTAACATCAAGCTTGAAACCGAAGCAACCAGACGCGGGATACGGCCTTCGTTTCCGCAGTGAAACAGCCGCACACGGTCATCAGTTAGCTCCCCATTGCGCCTGTGTTTTTACTAAAAAGTGTGGTAGGAAAAGGCAATACCTTTCAATATCAGATATAATAATTTTGAAAGTTGTTAGGGAGAGTGGCAATAGAAAGAAGAGTAGATATTGATCAACAAGTATCTTATTTATGTCAAACTTTATTTGAAAATAGTTGGTTCTGTGATTAAATTATTCCGGGTGCGTCAACTGCCATGGTCATTAATCCCTTAAGTGTAATGCACGTTTTTATCACGGGAGGTGGCGGTGGATCTTCCCCTGCTGGTTGGTGAGACCAGGCTCCGACCTACACATCGAGTTTCGGAGTTTTCCCCTAACCAGGTATCTCCCACGAGCAGTGCCTCGCTCCCAGTCGGGACAAGCTCTAAGCTCCCGACATAAGGGTTGAGGATAGCCCAAGGAGAAGGAAAGACTGCGCGCGGTCCGTGGCCCAGTGGCGTGCACAGGGGCCTCAATTTGCCATGGCCAGCGCCGTTGGGAAGCGTCAAATACAACTTAAAATATATAAACAATATTTGCAAATAATAAACAAAGTTTTATATAGTTTGAATTAATTAAAAAATGTGCAATAACACATTTATTAAACATGTTTTTATATTTAAATATGTTTTAATGGGAATCACGAGAAGAGAGAATGAGAAATAAATACATCAGAAAGAAATTGAAAACCAAAGGTTGAATGTAGAAGAGAGAACAGTTTCAAAGGAGATGGAAAGAACATTTAATGAGAATGAACAAAATTAATTTGGAAGTACATACCAATAGGGATCAGAGGCAGACCACTGAAGATGTGGCAACAGCAGGAATATTAGGAAGACTAATAATCTGCCAAGAATATTCTAATAAACCATCAGAAACAGGTTGTAAAGCCTAATTTCTGGTCAGTTCATGATGATTATGAAATATATTTTATTGCATATTAAAATTAAGCATTCATTGTTTGTAATTTTAGTGGCAACTTTCTCTCAGAAACCATTCTTGCACATTTATCAATAACATTACACGCATTAATTGATGTCAAATATGTTGTTCCATAAAACCATAAAGGAGTGGCTCTAGTCGATCATTGACTGTACGCTCATTTTTAAGAATTACAAATTTAGAAAAACCTGTTTTACATTTATTCAATTGGTATCTGGAATATTGTTTAAAAAAATTAGAAACGACTATTATATAAATTTGGATACGTGTTTTTCTATCAACTTTATTTAACCAGTCTAGCCATTTGTAAACTGTTTTTGGTAGATTATATAAACCTCTTCATTGCGGCACTTTAAGATATTAATCCTTTCCATTAGTGCTGAAAAATGGATATTAAATTATTTTGAAATTACTTTAACACCATCTTCAGAAGCTTTAAATTGTGTAAGTTTTCTGACTCTAGTGATGCAGTCTAGGCTGAGAATAATGACCAGTCAATTCTGCAATGCATGCAACGTTTCAAGCGGAATAAGAAAATTATCTTTCCATACTTCATGCTCTTTGGAGGTCTCTGTAAACGCAATTTCTAGGCAATCGGCGAATAACGTTTCTGTTTCTTACAGCTGAAATGAGGATTTTCAGTTTGTTACATTTCTCAACAGATGCTGCAAAACGTATCTAAAATTGGTTTTCATCTTGTCGCAGATTTCAAAGCAGTTTTCAGGTCAATCATCCCTTCAACGAGATCCGTGTTCGTGGATTGTTAATTATTGCTGTCAATTAGAATTGATTACAGAAGTGGATGCATACTTTCCAAAGAAATAATGAAGCCAAATGGTTTAATTTGAGGGAAAATACCTTTTCTAATTTTTTACAAAGTGGGGGTCAGTGTAATCTATATCTGCAATGGAAAAGAACTGTGTCTGAATAGCCGAAACAGCTTCTGCTTGAGCCGTCCACCTTATGGCTGATAAATACTTAAGAGTTGAATTTTATGAGGGCTTCCAAAATAATTTGGCCTGTTGCACAACATTCTTTAAAATTGAAAATTAGTTGAGCACCAAAGCAGTGGAAAATACGTTTATTGTTTTATTACAAGCAGCAACAAGAACTAGATTCAAACAATGTACAGTCGACTCCGATTATAGTGAACCCTCAGTTACAGTGAATTTCAGTCACTGGTCCTGTTTCACTTACATTACAAATAAGCGTAAGAAGATTCGGTTATGGTGAACCTGAACATCGGCTGTAGTGAACGTAGGAAATACGTCCTTGAAATGAATTCCCTCCTTGAAAAAAAAATATAGTGACTCAGTGCTACAAATTCCAGCACTAGGCAGCCTGAAAAAGATTTCGTCGGCCAAGGTCATAATTGAAGAAGTCTCCCCTGAGGTGAAGGTAGCGGACCCAGAATAGGGACCTTACTGATGACCTTGTGTCACTCAGTTTCACTCAGGTAACAAAAGTCCATGCCCTGCGTGGGCAACCACTGGCGGCGGCGACGCGCGATTGCTTGCTTCAGTTTCAAGCTTTGTGTTACTTGACTTTCCGCGGGACAAAGCGCGTAGAGTTCTACGTAGTTGACAGGAAGCACGCGACGGCCGCAGCCTGGCGATATCTGCCGTTCCGCTGCCGGAAGCATCTCGTATGTCATTAGTAGGGTAAAGGGACCTTCGAAATGTATGATGTGTTCCAACCGTGCGAGAGGCATTGAAGGGTGTAAAGAATGCTTTACTATACTTAGACAATGAAGACATGCAGAGTCAAGTCTGGAGAGAGCACGAACTCTGGAGAAGGATCTAGAGAAATTACTAATGAAATATGTACGACACAATCAATTGAAAATAAATGATTTTTTAACGACAAATAAAGCTCTGATATTTTCAGATCGTGCTGTTAATGTATTTCACTGTATCTCTAAATTAATAAAATAAATCGTTATGGAGAAATTTAATTTAATTCTGACACCATCGGATATGGTGAACCTCTGATGTAGTAAATCAAAAATGTTACTTCCCAGAAGTTCACTATAACCAGAATCGACAATATTTATATCAATATTTATGGATTTTCTTGTTTGCATCAAGCTTTTACACCGTTTATACTTCCAGACATTATTGAAACGTCATCAAAGTATACATCTGTAACGTTTTTCCCATTGTATTTCCAAACTTTCAATAATTGTATCTAGCTCGTTGAAAATAGTGCCAACATCGGTTTTTAACAGTCTGTAAAGCAATAGTTTCTGCAGGGTCAACAATTTGCACATTCAAGTGGCGCTGAATGTGGTACGCAATAATTCTATTACTTCCTCTGCATTCTTTAAACGATTTGTTGCGGGTGGTGCTAAATGTATTGAATAACATGAAATAAACGCCATTTTAAAATTATTTTGATTTTTAAAAATGTACAAAAATGATTATTTATATTTCACGTCATAAATATTTATAGAAGGGCGTTTTTTTAATATATTTTGAATTTGGAAGTACAAGAGTTTTAAGTGATTAATAATGATGGTTTCGAAAACTCAAAACTTTTCTGAGACAATGACATCAACATTGTGCACTTTCAGAAAGGCTCAAACGACATTGTCTCAATACCGGCTTCAATTTTTTCACTGAATTTTTGGATAAAAGGACAGGTCTTCTATGATATTTTTGAGTCATATTTCTATTCTACTGTTAAGGGGCCGAAAATTTAAAAAAAAGTCGTTTATGCGGAGATAGGAAGCAGTGCAAAAATATCCGCCATTGTGCAGCATCACTAATTATTTTTTGTACAGTTTAAATGTACTGAATGCAACATTACATAA